ACATATAATATTCGTATTAATATTGACACACATTTTGATCTTACTTTCAACAGTGTAGCATAAGTAAAAAAGTTAGTTAATCATTTATTAGATAAGTCACTTTTTAATAATGAAAATATTTTCATGTAATTGAAATATTTTGTAATGCAATATTTAATATAGAACATTTACTAAAATTTTGTGTTTACTATTTTCTACTACCTTATTTTTATAGTTTTAATTTCAAAATTTTCTTTTGGATGATGAGTCAATTTCTTTTATATGACTACATATAAAAAATTGTATTTATTTCTATAAATTTTATTTTTTATTTTTCTATGGTAGGTTGATTAAATAATTTATTTCTTTTAGCATTTTCTTTTTTCAAAAATAGATAGAGATAGCAGTGGTAAAATGAAGTCCATCATGTAAGAAGATTTTTAAGGAGAAAAAATACAAAGAGAAGAATAAGAGGAGTAGAGAAGAAGAAGAAATAGGTGGCGGTGGCCAGATTAATTATTAAATTAGTAATTTTTTAAATCAAATTAATTATACATACGAATAAGATGTATATATAAAAACTGATGTTTATAATGTAAGTTTGATTCTTAGAAATACTTATGTAATGTGATGAAATGCGCAGAGAAGGAGAATAATAAGAGGAATCCTTCGTTTATATATAAAGAAGATATAATTTTATGTTAATTTGTAGAAATATTTTAAAATTTATAAAAATTTACAACCAAATATAACTTAAATATATATATATATTGTATATACACATACATACAATTTTAATTTATTTCTATTATTTTTATAATAATATATTTTGAAATAACTAACAAACTTTCGTTAATTGTATCGTGCGTAACACGAGTTTTCCGATAGTATATATATATATTTGAACTCACTACGGGATCCACTTAAGTATAAAGCAAGAATTTTTAGCTATTTTGAGTTTTTTCTTTAATTTTTGATTGGTTGTATAATTTGATTGGTTGAAACAATTTTGTATTTTTTTATTGATTGTACAATTTGATTAATTTAATTATTTTGTATTATTATTTTTAATTGATTATACAATTTGATTGATTATTAATCATTTCTTCATAAGTTCATTTTTTTTAATATATATTTATAGTGCATGATATTAATGTTATAAATTTATTATTAATTAATATTTATTTTTTAATATATTTAAAGTCTAAGAATTATATATAAAATTATTAATTAGTATAAGATTTTAATTAATTATTCTAACATATGTGATAGGGAAAAAATTATTTTTTGGTCTCAATATAATCAAAATTCATCAATTTTGGTTCCAATATAAAATTTTATCAATTTTGCTCCAAATATAACTAAAACTCATCATTTTGATCTCAATATAACCAAAATTCTCACAATATAAAATTTTTATCAATTTTAGTCCCAATATAACCAAAACTTATCATTTTTTATCCCAATATAATCAAATCTTATCTTTTTTGGTCTTACTGCCAACAAACCGACGAAAAATGCTGACGTAGACTATGAATAAAATAAAAAAACATTGAAGATAAAAAAAAATTGATATTTTACCCTGTGAATTTTTACTGTTGGTACCGCTGGTTCTTCGTATATATATATATTTATCGACAGACGCACAGGATGAGGCAGCTGAAGCTTATGATGTAGCAGCCATCAAGTTCCGGGGAGTCGGGGCCGTCACGAACTTTGACATTTCGCAATACGACGTGGCCAAGATCATGGCGACCAGAGCTCTTTTGATCGGTGGTGGCGAGACCACAAGGCCAAAGATAATGCCGCCACCACTGCAGCAGAGCTTCGGTCGACAGTTCACCAGATTCCATTGTCTCTGTGTCGCGACCGTTCGAGCATCGATGATTCCGGCGTTGGCAAGGATCAACATCTCGGATTTTCGGACACCTTGCATGATCTTATCGCCGTCGGGATGAATCCAGTTTTTGCTTCGCGGAACGACGCTTGAATTCGTGTAATAAAAATGATCGGGACCAAAAAAGATAAGATTTGATTATATTGGGATAAAAAAATGATGAGTTTTGTTATATTGGGATTAAAATTGATAAAAATTTTATATTGGGATAAAAAATGATGAGTTTTGGTTATATTGAAACCAAAATTGATAAGATTTTTATATTGAAATCAAAATTAATGAATTTTGATTATAGTGGAATAAAAAAATGATGAGTTTTGTTATATTGGGATTAAAATTGATAAAAATTTTATATTGTGATAAAAAATGATGAGTTTTGGTTATATTGAAACAAAAATTGATAAGATTTTTATATTGAAATCAAAATTAATGAACTTTGATTATAATGGAATAAAAATGATTTTTTCCCTATGTGATATGTGATTATTTATTTTATATAAATAATTTATATTATATTTATATAAATGATTAATATAACAGTATTTTTGTAAATTATATTATATTAAACTTATAGGTAATTAATGATATGTTTAAAAGTACAACATATACTTTTAAAACTTTAAAACTTATGATATTATATTTATTTTTATTTATCTTATATATACATTAAAAATTTTGAAGGATTCTAATTTTTTTTGAAAAATTTTAATTGATTGAAGTATTTGATACGGTGGTTAAATATTTGTAAATTAATATATCTTTTTATATGTGCATATATATATATATATTTATCTTTTTTCTTTTTTTTTTTGATTAACCTCCAATTTGATTGGTTCTAATATTTTTGTGTTTTTTTTTTAAAAAAAATCTTTTTATTGGAGGTACAATTTGTTAGTTCTATCTATTTTTTATTTATTTTTTATTTTTTTTAATTGATTGAAATATTTGATTAGTTATTAAATTGATAGTATTATTTTATTTTTAATATTTTATTTTTTATATTATAAAAAACTTTGCAATAAAAATATAATTAATCATCACGTTTTTTTGTTCAATACATTAGATATAATTGTAATAATTTATTAAGTTTTAATTCAAATATAATTCATTATAAAAATAAAAAAAATATTAGTATTTATTATTTAATAAGTATACTCTATATATAAGTGTAGTCTACGTATGAATAGAAAAGATTTTGTTTTATATTATTTTTGTAATTAACCGAATACATTTTATTTCAATGTTCTTATTTTTTTCTTTTTGGTGGTTCATTTTAGAACAAAAAAAAAATTTAGTTATAAAAAAATATAAGCTAATGTTATTTATTTTTTGATTGGTAGTAACATTTTATTTTTTACAATATGATAATTATAAGCTGACAAACCCGAGCAGCAAAAGAAGTGGTGCAAGAAGAAAAATATGGGAAGAGAAGGAGAAGCTAAAAAAAAAAAGAAGAAGATTTTGGAGGAACAAGAATAATAGAAGAGATGAACAAAGAAAAGGTGAGGGTGGTGGCTTGGAATGCTTAGAGATAGTCATTTGTGGGAAATTTTTATTTGTAACATATAAGTATAATATCTATGCATTTAAAAATCATTTATTGATAACTAAAATATTTGAAAGTGCTCAGATTTATTAGTATTATATAAGAAATAAAAGTTATTATTTGACAAATAAACAACTTACTTTATAGTATACATTTTCCAATTTTACATATTGTTTTAATGTATACATATACTTTATTTAATATTATGTTACCTCTTAGCATTGTAATTGAAATTGAAAAAACGTGGATGCTCAACAGTTAGTGATATGAATTTCTGTCTGTATTTTAATATTTTAAAATTCTGTAATTGCAAGTTAAATTTTATTATAGTATTTTTTTTTTAAAAAAAAAATATTTTTTGGAATATTGATTTTTTATTTATTTATTTTTGACTAAGTAGGAACCCGCAGTTGCTATTCGAAAGTGCGCAATGGATAAACCCCCGGTCAAACCTAATACCCTGAGGGATATTGATTTTTTCATTTGGGGGAAGTGTGTATTGGATATTGTTGTTTTACATTTTGTTATAGAGAAAAATGTGTTTTATAAAAATTTGTGGAATTATTTTGTGTACTATTAAAGTAATTCGTAAGACAGTTTATTTGACATATGTCTAATAACAAACGTTTTTTTTTTTTTTTTCTAGATAAACTGGAACTTAATAAAAAAGTAATTGTTTTGAATCATTTGATTTTTATTACAAAAGTAATGGTTTTAAAATACACATTGATATAATGAAATTCAAACACATGGAAGAAATTAAAATAATTTATTTATACATTTTAAATCAAAATAAACAAAAATGTTTAATAAATTATCATATTTTATATAAAAATAATTGGTAGTTATTAAAATCAAAATAGTTCTCTGTAGTAGAAATAAAAGTAAAAAAAGATTAAATTATTTTTATTAGTATTGTATGATATAAAGATAATGATATTTGTGTAATATATTGTAAATTGAAAGAATATTTGTAATATTAGATAATACAATTACTAAAAAAAGAAATGAATATTTTGTTATGGAACGAATCAAAATAAAAAAAAAAATAAATTGTTAAAAAACGGATGAAATAATACTTATATGTTAATGAAATGCATATGTTGAAAAAAAAAATAGTTTTTCTTTTTCTTTTATTAATTATCAATTATACTACAAATTATAATATTTATATTTTTTTACAAACATATTACATATAGTTATATTTAGTAAATGTAATTTCATTTTTACACCATCAAACGAATGACCACCTTAAAAATGATAGAAGGAAATAATAAATAATTTTACAATTTAAAATATAATATATAAATATCATTATTTTTATATTAGAGCATTATTGTTTTTTTTTTTATTTATTATTATTACAACTTAATATAATAATAATATTAAAAAATTTATATATAAAAAATAAATATTATTCATTCTTACTGGAGGAAGCAAGTATCATTTTAGTACTCACTTTGTCCACGAAATTAGTCTCATTTTCGGTGATTGAACCGTGCATAGCACGGAGTTTTCGCAAGTATTGTATAAAAAATATCGGCGCAAGTGGTTTCACAAGGAAGCAAGGGTAAACTTGGAAAAACACTACTCTGTTTCTGGAACTAGGAGGGCGACCGATTTCAGATTGCAGATCGTGCGGACATTTTCCCTTTTCATTTTGGTAAGTTGGATATGGACGCCAATTCTAGAATCCCACCCGCGCATGGTTACTCCAATCCCCACAACACCGCCGCCGCTGCCACCAGCATTCTTCTGCCGACCGCCACGGCGGACGACGCTTCGGCGTCGAGCAGAAGGTTGGACCGAGCGGATTGGCCAACCATCGATGGCCCCCTTGGCCTTTCACACGAGGAGTCTCTGACCTACGCCTCCAGATTCTTCAAATTGGGGTTTTTGTTCCTGCCGATGCTTTGGGGCATAAATTGCTTCTATTTCTGGCCCATCCTTCGCCATCCCAGTACTTATCCTTCACACCCCCGCCTGCGCCACTGTAAGTTTTTTTCCTTTTTTTTTGGTTTGCAGTGTTGTGAGAGTTGGATGCAATTGATTTTCGTAGTAAAGTTCTGTTATGATTTTTCTGGGAAATGATGGGGAACCTATTTCTAGACTTCTAGTCAGCCATTTGATGCCCTCATTTTTGTCCATTGTAGGACATTTGAATCAAGCTAAAGCTAAATCCAGTTATGTTTGGATACATCCAACACTATGGGACAATTAGAAAAATATTTGAATTGTATATGCTTGTAATAAAGCATTTGAATGGGTACTCAACTAATCACCGTTCAAAACTTTTGGAAATTGGTATGGAACTTTTTGTAAATTATATTTTAGTTTATTTTATATCTACTTGTAGATGTGAGTGTCTTCTAATGTTAGACCTAAGATTCATATACAATGTCACAACTCCTAAAATTTCTCAATGCAGTACACTTGTTATTAAAAATTTGTTAAATTTAATCTTTATAATCTAGGATTTCCTATGCATCTTTGATGATAGCTTCTTCGCTTATATAATATACAAATATGAACTGTTCGAAGAATTTTGCACTGGAGAAGGTTTCATTTCTGGTGACTAGCCTTTATACATATCCTGAACAAACTAACTACATTGTTTTATGTTGGATGAGGGACTGAAAGCTGAGCAGCCGAAGAAGAAGACTTACTCAACAAAAGTGTCACGCTCATATATCTTTAGAACTTCTATTTGAATAGCTGTTAATGCATTTTTGTTTTAGTTTTTCCTTTTTGCCTCTTCTCCAACTTATATAGGTGAAGTTACTGCGCTAAATTCTAATGGTGTGTTTGTTTGGGGGTTTGGATTTTGAGTTGGAATTTGAATTGTAAAAATTTTGAATATGAATAGTTGTACGATGTGATATAAATAGGGGTTGATGTGATATTTTGAATGTAAAATTGATTTTTAGTATAATATAAAAATGAAAAATAGGTGTTTGATTTAATGTTTTTGGGGGAAAAAATAGGATGAATAGTGGTTTTCTCTTAATAAAATTTTCTTTTTCTCTCCTTCGCTGCCATTTCCATTTTCTCTTTTTTTATACCATGATTGATTGCTCGCTCATCTTGAAATTGGCCTTGTGTAATTGTTCCCTTACCGATGGTTAATTTGCAAAGATAGTTTTCTCCCTTTAAGAGACTGCTATAGTGAAGCAAGCTTCCATATAATTTTTTCCCCTAGAGATGCTGTCACTCCTTTTAGTTGCATTGTCTCATTTTTGTTCTTGTTACTGTTAGTTATGTAGTTTTTATTTATGTTTCATCTGCTGTTTTTAAGTTATCAAGCCGTGCTTGCTGCAGATCTTGTTGGATCAGCAATCGGGTTCTCCTTGTTTGCAGCGGTTCTATGCTCATGGGCTTTTACCTTTGCCATAGGTGGGGAGCGTCTATTTGGCCACATTTGGTCGGAATTGGTAATGTACAATTTTGCTGATAAATATGGCTTGACTGGGTGGATCTAGATATGATTGTAGTTTGCTATATTTGAGAATTTGCTAAGGTACTTTGTGTCATGGCTTGTAACTATTACCTTAACAAGATGAATATGAATCTTCTACTTGTATCCAATGGTTACATGTGTATGAGCAGGCAAGATACTGTCTTTTTGAGAAAAAAAAGAAAAGAAAAAAAGGGAAAAGGATTTGGGGTGTTCTATGGGGTTCTGGCTGTTTAATATATGAAAAGATTTCTGGTGTATTTAAACTTGGAGAATGGTTATGTTATATGTATTGGTATCTCTGTTCTGTTGATAACTTTGTTATTTTGCTGATGATTATGTTTGAGTGAAGACTGGGTTTCTACTAGCAAGTCTCTCTTCATCTTTTCTCCAAAATTTAGTCCGGTCGTCGTTGTCATTCTAAGACATTCCCGATGGCAACCATTTTCAGTTCTTATTCTACTCTAATATATTTGTTCAGCCTAGCAATTCCCCACACTTATGTTCTTAAGAAGTTCCTCTTGTTAGCAATGCTAGAAGAGAACCCTACAGGGACTCTGTGCGGAGATGGGGTGGGGTGCCCCGGGAAAGAAAATTGTCGTCTCGCCGGCTTATGTTGTCACAATAGTGTTTTTGAATGTATTGGAGCTTTGAGGCGTAGTGATTGTTGTATATAGTGTTCCATCGGTAGGGGCAATTTGGGTTTTCTATGCAGGTCTCTCTCTACTAATAAGTTTTCTACATGTTTATTAAACTTAGATGATTCAGATCATATATTTTGAAGTACTGCTCTAACGATGATTTGCTTGCATTAGATTTGATTTATTTTCACATAGGTTTACTTGTGGGATTTTAGTTTTGAGTTTTGGTCTTGAATAATAAAATTTTGAATTAAAATAGTTGTTTGATGTAATATAAATATATATTCATGTGATATTTTTAATGTAAAATTAAGTTTTAGTGTAATATAATAAATGAAAATAAGTATTTAATTTGATATTTTTTTTATTTTTTTTTTTTGGAACAGTAAAACCAAGACAAAATCGTAGAAGCAACCTTCTTTTTTCATATAAGGTGGAAAAACTACAATGAGGTTTTTGTGGTGTGTATTTCAATTTTTGTTAAGAGTATATATATTACTTTCGCCACATACGGTGTCTATATTGTCGTTTTTGTCAATTTTACATTTCATGTCAATTGTTTTTGGAAATTTCTTACTGATTTTAATCTCATTTTAATTTTAATAAGATTAATGAGTTATCTTAATTTTAATATAATTATTTATATTATAGGATAATTATTTTTATTAATATATTTTTAATTATTTACTATTTATATTTATTTTAAATTTTCGTGTTAAGATTAACTCGAATATGATTGGAGGTGGGACGGGGAAGTATATTATAAGAAATGCATCTTGGAAGTTTTTAGTGTCTTAAATAGTTATTATAATTTTTTGAATATATAATAAGTTTCTTTCTATTAAGATATCAAATAAAAATTAATTTTTTAATATAATATTATTTAGTAAAAAAAATATTGATGAGCCGTACAAAGATAAAGTTGAAATTATAAGGCTATATTATTTCTTTTATCATACAAAATTTTCTTAATGTTAATCTAGTTTCAAAATGAATTTCCCATTAATAGTGGAATAAAACTTTTAATCTGTTATTTTATTTATTTATTTATTATTACTATTATTCTTATTATTATTATTATTATTATTATTATTATTATTATTATTATCTATTTTTCAATACTGAAGTTGGAAGAAGCTAGGTGCTTAAGAAAATGTGGTTTGATTCAATCCAACAACAATTGTGTGACAATAAAAATAAATAAAGAAAAAAAAAAGATTTTGGGAATATATATGAAATTTTTGTTTTTTTCTAAAAAAATATATTTTTTTAATAATTACTAAGTGTAATATTTATATAAAAAATGATGTTACATATAATAGTATTTGAAAAAATGAAAGGTATTAAATACTCCTTCCCTTCCGTAAAGTGTGCTGTATTTTCATTTAGATTCATCCTACATAATGTATCTTTTTTTTCTTCCTAAAATAGTTATATATTTTAATTATATTTTAAAATTTACAATTTATAATTTTATTAATTTTGATTAGATTATTTAGTTATTTTAATTTTAATTTTATGATTACTTGTATTATACAATAATTATTTTTACTACTAATCTGAACATTTTATCAGAAACCACTAACGGGTGATCTGTTTAGTGTGTGATTCGCAGACTGTTATTTTGATAGAAACTAATTTTCATACATCAGTGGAAAAGCAGAATTAACTAAAACATGAATTTTTTGGAAAATACCTATAAATTTCCTAATCTCTTTTAGGATAGTGCGAATTAGAAGTACAAATAATTTTACACTTGCAACATATTGCAAATTAATTACCGGATGCATTTAATGACTCAAACAGAGTCACCATATCGTATATTTATAGGAAATGCACCGAAAAATATAAATGTCCCAGATGGACAAATAAAAAGTGCCAATGATACTTCCGTGCGTTGTAGACCTGTAGATTCAAAGGATAAAAATCATCGAAAAAAAAATGTATTTATTAATGATTCAATCTCTCAAATAACTTGTAGTGACAAAGAAAAAATCATTGGAGATGATGCTCCTGAAAAGTCTAGCTCAAAAGAAAACGAAGTTATTGAATATTCAATTAACTTTACAACTACATAGAAAAGTTGGAACTAAAAAGAAATAATTATTGATAATGCATTTGCATATAATGTGGCACCCGGTTTAATGGAAAATGACGGTGATCCCGAACCAACATCAGTTAATGGTTGTCGGAAAAGAAATGATTGACCATAATGGATAGATGCAATTCAGTCTGAATTAGACTCACTGACCAAAAGAAAAATCTTTGGATCTATAATTCAAATACCAGAAGGCGTTAAGCCAATTGGGTGCAAATAGGTATTCATGAGAAAAAAAATGAAAAAAAATGAAATTATCGGATACAAAGTAAGACTTGTAGCCTAAGGATTCTCACATAGACTTTACATTGATTATGATGAAACATATTCTCCAATTAGGGATGACATCACATTCTGATACTTCGTAAGTCTGTCAATGCATGAAAAAGTTGACATGTGCCTTATGGACATAGTCACTGCTCATGTATCACCCTTAGTTGCCTCATACTGGAAATGCTACCGCCACACAGCATTATGAAGTCGTTATCTCCTACTTCGGGCCCCACAATACAGTGTTAAGGCTAAAATTAACCATAAAAGCGCATTATTATATAACAAAAATTGATTTATAAATATTTACATAACACACTCCTTAACAAGAGGTTTTTCCGGTTAAAAATTTACATATAATACAATAGATGTAAGTTCCCTCGCTCACTCAGCCTGTCATTCTATATCCTAAGACGTACCCTGTCTCGAATGTGCCATGCATACCTGAAACAAATATTTTTCTTAAAAGCAGTCTAGAATTAAATCCATTTTAAGAACTAACGTGAAATATGTCATTTCATACCCTTTTAAAGTAAAGTCTAATTCCCGTCAATCATAAAATACGTGTCATGTCATGCTAACAGTGAAATGATGCAACAAAGATATCAAACTCGACAACAATGCACATCCACATATATATACATCCGTTGAAGTGAGTAACCGAAATAACCTCGGCTCCATAATAATAGGCTCACTACATCTGTCTAAGTGAGCAGCCAGAATAACCTCGGCCCCGTAATAACAAGCTCACTAGACCATCATCAATAAATAGCCGAAAAATCCTCGGCTCAAGGAAGGACCAGATAAACCCATAATAACATAACGGTCATCCGGTCACTTCCATATACCCACCATACGACTCCCACAATCAATACATGGATAGCCGAACGTTGTCGCCATTAACCACAAGACGCCCCATAGTCTGTGATAGCGAAGATAGGATCCCCACTGACTAGCCCTATCCCGTGTAATGTAGTAGAATCCGTGCAACCTGGAATCACCCAAGGGAAACCCAGAAACTCTACTCCTCCTCGTGTGCCCTAACGGGATCACGTTTGGAGTTTGACATTGATCCTCAACTACCGGTAGACCTCACAAGGTGTAAATCTAATGAGTGGAACAACATTGAACATGAATGATTAGACCAAATACATCTCAACTACAATGGATCTAATCCCTAAATGACCGTGCGACTAAGTCACCTAATTGTCCGACTACTATCATCCACTATCGACAAAGTGTTATGGTATATCGGGGTCGAATATCCTAATCCCAGATGATGCCCTCGCCTAGCACTACCGCACACGGTGACTAAACGATAGATCCATAAAACATATCCGATAAACCGTGCAATATGTGTGCATCATGTCAAATAAGTAAATTTATTGAAAAGGGCTGGTAAGATAACTCACCTACCCTCCTTTTCATAAATTCACCCACGCGATCAAATACGTATATCAAATATCATAAACCGTGAAGTCTCCCATATGCATACGCACACACATATATATAAATATATACGTGCACTGACAAAATGATTCACATACTATCACATTAACATATTAATCAGAATCGCATGCAACATGCATACCTAATTTTTTTAAATTAGATTTAATTCCTTACTGCTTACCTCTTATCGACACTCCCTAGCTTTTGCAATCTCACCCAAAGCTCCTCCAACGTACACCTGCCCCATTATTTACTCAAATCAGCTGAGCTATATGCTTATTCATAGGAGCTACCTGCTTATTCAAAAGCTAATTTTTATAATTAGTTTGTTGGGTTCAAACTTTTATATTTAGTAAACTACAATGTTCTAGCTATAAAACTCTTATACCTCATAATATTTATATCGCCCGATTATTAAATAAAAATACTTAAAGATATGAATAAACAGGCCGGTGCAGTACATTGCCGTTTTTAATTCGGCTCGGATCTATATGAAGTTCTTAGAATATAATGCTAGGACTACGAATAGACTATTAGCTAAAGAAATTCGTCGATTAAATAGCCAAATAGCCAGTTATGAATTTTTTTGAAGAATTTCTAATTAATATCTAAATTCATATTAAAATTCATAATTAAATTCTACGTATAACAAGAAATACAATACCAAAATCATAATCGAAATCAGTCGGCTAATCTTTTTCTTTCTTCTTTTTTCTTCTCCCTGGGGACGTGTGCTTCTATTTCCTAATATGGGTTTGGTTTGTTTGTCAATTACATATATATATATATAATTTATATTATTATTATTATTATTATTAAACGTTATTATTAATATTATTTTCATCAGCCGTCCTTATCATCATTATTATTATTATATTATTATATATATATATATTATATTTTATATTTATTTTTTTTGATATTTATCCGTTTAACCGTCTTTATAATTATAATCAATATATAAAATAGGAATAAAATCTATTCCAAAATATTAATTTCTTGATCCCAAAATATTATAAAAATATTTATTTGCTATAATAATATTATTTTATACACTCCAAAATTAGAGCATTACAATTCACTCCCCCTTAAAAGATTTCATCCCCGAAATCTAAACTCAAACGCATAACAACACTACTTAATTAAACAAATGTGCGTATGCTTTGAACATTTCTTGTTCTACTTCCCATGTGGCCTCTTCCGCTCCATGCCGTGACCACATTACCGTCACCATACGAATATCTCAGTTTCTCATAGTTTGAACCTTTGTGTCCATGATCCAAAGAGGCATTTCCTCATACGAAAGATCCTCATTTAGCTCTAACTCATTCGGAGATAAAATATGAGAAAGATCTGCGACATACCTACGAAGATGTGATACATGGAACACATTATGAATTCGTTCTATGGAATTAGGAAGTGCTAACCGATAAGCCCAATCCCCAACTCGATCGAGGATTTCATAGGGTCCAACATAACGTAGACTTAATTTTCCTTTAATTCCAAACCTTATAATACCTTTCATTGGAGATACTTTTTACCAGGATGAAATCTTCACTTTGAAATTGACCTTCACGTCGGGCTTTATCGGCATAACCTTTTTGGCGATCTTGAGCTATCTTTATCTTCTCCCTGATAACTCGAATCTTATTTTTTGATTCTTCGATCATTTCTGGACCTAATATCAGTCGATCACTCATGTCATCCCAACTTAAAGGAGTCCTGCATCTTCGTCCATAAAGAGCTTCAAAAGGAGCCATTCCAATACTTGTTTAATAACTATTATTATATGAAAATTCCACTAAATCCAAGTGGTCTTCCCAACTTCCTTGAAATTCTATTGCACAAGCTCTTAAAATATCTTCCAGAATACGGATAGTTCCTCTGATTGACCATCCGTCATTGGATGGAATGCAGTACTTTTATGCAATTGAGTACCAAAGGCTTCTTGCAATTTTTGCCAAAATCGAGATTGAAAACGTGGATCACGATCCGATATGATTACCTCAGGAATACCGTGTCATTTAACTACATGATGAACATATAATTTGGTCAACTTCTGCATGCTCCAAGTCATACGTACTGAGATGAACACTGCTGACTTGGTCAATCTATCTATAATCACCCAAATTGCATCTATTCCCGACTTCGCCCTTGGAAGTCCTGTCACAAAATCCATTGCAATAGAATCCCATTTCCAGAGCGGAACTTCTAAAGGTTGTAGCAACCCCATTGGTCTATAATGTTCTGCTTTCACCTTTTGGTAGTTTAAACATTGTGCAACAAATTTGGCTACATTCTTCTTCATGCCCGTCCACCAAAAATGTTGACGTAAGTCTTGATACATTTTAATCCCTCATGGATGCACTTAATATGGTGTATTATGAGCCTCACTCATAATTTTCTCCTTCAAATCGCTTCGGTCCTTTGGGATACACCACCTCCAATGGAATCGAAGACTCCCATCTGAAGCAATATTAAAGTTTTGAGTCTGACCGCACTGAAATTTTATAGCCAGCTCAACCATCTTATTGTCCTCCATTTGAGCCGCTTTAATGTGATTATAAATTTCACGCTCAACTTGTATCATTTGCAAATATCCCCGCGTCATGCCCCGTCCAAGTACTTCAATTTCCATCCGTGCTAAATCTTTACACAGTTCATCGGCAACTGACATAGAACCCAACTTATGCCTTGGTTTTTGACTCAAGGCATCAACTACAACATTTGCTTTGCCTTCATGATATACAATTTCAAGATCATAATCGTTCACCAATTCTAACCATATTCTTTGTCTTAAATTTAATTCTCTTTGGGTGAAGATATATTTCAGACTCTGATGGTCAGTAAACATTCTACAATGGGCACCATAAAGATAGTGCTTTCAAATCTTCAAAGAAAACACAACTGATGCCATCTCCAAATCATATGTAGGATAATTCTCTTCATGAGGTTTGAGTTGTCATGACGCATAAGCAATAACTCTTTGATTATGCATTAAGACGCATCCCAATCTCTTTTTCGAAGCATCACTATAAACTTCAAAATCCTCACCCTCTACTGGTAAAGCCAAGACTGGCGCTGAAGTTAATCGATGTTTCAATTCTACGAAAGAGGACTCACACTCACGATCCCAATTAATCATTATGTCCTTCTTCAGCAAATTAGTTAATGGTTTCGGAACCTTCGAAAAATCAAGAACGAATCTTTGGTAATACCCTGCCAAACCCAAAAAGCTACTTACTTCTGATTGATTAGTAAGTAACTTTAGAAGGATCTACGGAGATACCTTTACCAGAAACTGCATGCCCCAAGAAAACAACATTTTTCAACCAAAACTCACATTTGGATAACTTAGCATATAACTTCCTCGCACGTAGTGTATTTAGTGTCACAGGCAAATGTTTTGCATGTGTCTTTTTATTTGGAGAATATACCAAGATATCATCGATAAATATCACCACAAACTGATCGAGGTATGGTTGAAAAATTCAATTCATTAATTCCATAAACGCAGCCGGGGCGTTGGTCAACCTAAAGGACATAACCGTAAATTCATAATGACCGTATCTAGTGCAAAAAGCTGTCTTAGGAATATCATGCTCTGCAACCTTTAGGTTATAATATCCAGAACTCAAGTCAATATTGGAGAATATACTTGCACCTCTCAGTTGATCAAATAGATCATCCATTCTTGGAAGTGGATATTTGTTCTTTACCGTTACTTTATTCAGCCCACGGTAGTCAGCTGATGATCTTAATTTGATTGGAACTCCTGAAGAGCTCCAATCAGCTGTGGAATATTTTAAAAAAGAATTTACGATAAAAGACTTTAGAAATACAAGTTTCTGTCTTTTTCTGCAAATTGAATATGTGAATAATGAAATACCGATCCATCAAACTGCTTATACCGAAATGGTATTAAAGCGATGTTATATGAATAAAGCACATTCGTTTAGTACCGCAATGATCTTCAAGGCAATTGATCGTAACGAGGATTTATTTAGACCAAAGGAAGATGATGAAGAGATACTTGATCCTAAAGTACCATATCTCAATACAATAGTTGCACTCATGTACCTAGCAAATAGCACAATGCCAGATATTGTATTTGCTGTAGATTTATTTGCTAGATTTAGTTCATCTTCTAGTAAACGACATTGGAATTGAGTTAACATGTTTTGCACTATCTGCACGGGACAAGTGATCTCGCCCTACTTTATTCAAAAAATTATTGACATGAGTTATTAGGCTATGCCGATGTTGGGTACTTATCTGACCCAGATAAAGCACAAACTGATTATATATTACGTGTGGTGATATTGTGGTATTTTGGAGGTCTACAAAACAGACAATAACTTATATCATATTCGAAAGAATTGTGCATTAATGTCTAAAAATAAAAATTCCCAACAATTTTATATTTTTTTAACAAATTTTTTCTTTACTAGAAAATCTTCAAAAGAATGGTGAAATCGATGGATAACAAATCCGACCATCTAAAAATTTTGCAGATGTCTTAACCAAGGCTCTACCGACAACAACATTCAACATATTAGTAAAAAGAATTGCGATGCGCCGGCTTAAAGTTCTGAAGTGAAGTCCAAATCAGGAGGAGAAATCAATTCAAGAATAGTGCACTTTTTTCCTTTGCTATAGTTTTTTTTTTTTAGCAAAATGTTAACAAGACACATTTGATATGTGCTATATATTATGATATTTTACTATATTTTGGGCAGTTTATGAATGAGAAAATTTTGTATATATGCTTCTGATAGTGTGTTTTCGAATGTTTTACTAGGCTTCATGTAATTGGCAAAGTTTATGGTCATATTGTGCAAGTAATGAGTAGAACGCATAAAATTTTTAGGCGTGATCACGCCTAAGGACAACACAGTGTTGGAAAAAGAATAGAATGAAAATTACAAAGATGTCCTCCGGGGTTAAGTTGACAAATTCAAGATTGTAGGATTTAATTGCAAAGGGAATCTATGTTTGAGAATTAAACAGAGAGTGATGAACAATTAAAGAGAGGAGAACAAATGCACCATCACGTTCCCTACCACGACATCACTTCTGGAAGGGGGAGAATGATGCAAGCAAGAAGACAGAGAATAACTTTGAGAAGCAATTTGGAAGACTTCCGGGCATTCATCTTCCCTTATCGTATTGTTCTTCTTTGTCGATTCCCAAATTGAAGGTTGATGAATTTCTTATTTCGCTTTGTTTTTTCGATTTTCATGGATTGTGAGTAATCTATTTTCTAGCTTAGGTATGAATTGAAGTTTGAGATATGAATTTGTGAGACTTGATTTTGATTTTAATTTGATGTTTATTATATTGAGTATTGTTAATTTCTCTATTTTACGGGATTAGAAATCTTAAACTGATATTTGTGGCCACCTATTGGTTTGAGATTTCATAGCTATATTGAGGATTGACAGCCATAACCGTGTAATCTTTCAATTTAAGTAGTAACCTAGAGGAAGAATACTCTAGGGATGAATTAAAATAAATTTTTGAACACATCTTCGTAGGAATTTGGTTAAATTGAATTGGGCCTTTCTAGTTCTCAATGCTGTCAAGTTAGTAATATTACGGTTGTACCTAAGATTCTCACTTAATTAGGGAAATGGCTAACGGTCGTACCTTAGCTATCAATAAAGTAAGGAAAGGTTGGTTGTGAACGTGTGTAGATCAACCATACCCAATTTATCCAATAAACTTGATTATGGTCGTTGAACAAATTTTTATATTCCAAATGAAAATTGGTGCCTAGGCTCAAATTTATTCCATTTAGGTATTTGGTTATATTTTAGCTTATTTTATTTTCTTTTTAATTTGAATTATTTTCCTTCTTTATTTAGCATAGTGAATCAAATCTCAAATCCCCCTAGAGTCCACAAAATCAAAGGATGTAAAATGATACAAAGTATGTAAAATTAGAGTTAGTGGTTTGGCCCTACCAGTCCAAGGGAAAAAGGTTGTTAGGCTGTTAGAATTAGATTAGTGGTCTGGCCTTGCTAGTCCGAGGGGAAAGGGCTGTTAGTAAAATTATTAATTATATGATATTTTATTCGTAATATTATGAATATATGTGAGCATTACATTCTTGAATTAGTGTTCCTTGTGGTTTTTAAAGTATTTAAGAACATTATAGTCTAGATTTGAGCGTTTCAGACATGATTCTAATAAACTCAGATTGACATCTTTTGAATAAACTGATGACTTCACAAAATGACTCTTTTGAATGAATAGATTATGGACTTAACAGACTCAGAATTGACACAATTTGGACAAACTTATGGTTTATACATAAAACATAAACCGAATAGATTAAGACATACTGACTCTCAAAGATTTAGAGGTAAGGACTTTGCAACATTCTAAAAGATTACTTGCTAACTCGTACCTAGTTACTCAGACTTTACTAGAACGATGACACTTCTGAATCTAGTTACTCAAACTTCACTAGAATCTTGAACACTTTTGAATCTAGTTACTTAGACTTCACTAGAATTTTGAACACTTTTAGGCCTTCAATACTTCTGGAATTTAGGAAGGAAAAAGAACTCTCTTGCTTTCACTTGTGCTCCCATTTCTTGATAAAGTGAAGACCCTTCTATAGGAAGAGACATAGGTCTTTGGGCAAATAAGGAGGGACTGATGTGTAAATGTCACGAGGGTTTTGTCCACTTGGTTATCATGACCTATGTGGAAGATGGTGGTAGTCTGGTTGGCTATCATTCCATAATTTGTA